CAAAAATGTTAGAAGTACAGTATATTAGGAATTTTTATTATATTAATTATATTTATTAACTAGATGGAATATTATCTTAATCTAGTTAATAGTATTTAATCTAGTATCTTGTTTAGTTAATCCAAAAATGGGCTTCTTGCTATAATATTTATACAAACATTTTTGATGATATAAAAGATTGCTCAATCAATATTTCATACATTTATTTGATATTTAATATTGATTGAAAAACTCTGCTTACGTGGCTTAATCTGCTAATAGGTCAGTATGTGGAACCTTAAAGCTTCTGCACATCCAGAAAATGAAACCTATTGGCAATATTTTTAAGTTTCATTAAACATTTATACACACAGGAGGAACATTGTTTTCTCTGATGTTGTTGAATATAAATACTATAGTAAGGCCTCCAAAACTTTTTCTTTAATCTTCTGTGTATACAGTATACGCAGTATACAGTATGTGTGTACTGTACAAATACAGTAGGTTGATCTAGTATGAATATAAAACTAGAATTCTTTCATTGCAGTTAGGGGCACTCTGATAAATCCCATGATTGCAAGCTTCAGTCATATTTGACAGACATTGTAAAGGTTTGTTAACTGTGGATTGACTGACAGATACATTACAGTGCACTTCAGCAGGGCTGGTAACCTTGTCAGTAAGACAGAGAGTATCAGCAACTGTGGGTTTTAGTTAAACCTTTGTGCCTCACTACTGGTCCTCAGAAAGCCAGTAATACAGCCCACAGTACATGGCAAGTGTATTTTTCTAGTGTAATAAACAAGTGTAAAGCCTGATAGCTCTTTTTAAATCATAAAGGTGAAGGCCATGCTGAAATATAGTTCAAGCACCCCTATACATTTTTATGTTTATTTTGAATAGAGTTCGTTTTGAAGAAAATCCAAGTTTGTACTGTATCTAAAGTTTTATATAAAAGTAACATTAAGAGACAAGTAATAGGTTTATTTCATGCTGAAAAAAAGAAGAAAGAAAACACAACGTTTCGGCCGTTGAGCCTTCTTCAGGTGTGCGACACACCTGAAGAAGGCTCCTAGGCCGAAACGTTGTGTTTTCTTTCTTCTTTCTTTCAGCATGGAATAAACCTATTACTTGTTCCTTTGCAGCCTACGCATGCTAATGCAGCTACCTACCTGAACTACTACAGCTAACATTACTAAAGCCTAGTAATGATGAAGATTGTGTTACATTTCAGTATACTATAAATTCTTGAACAAAAAGCAACAAAGAGCACTTAAAGGTCTATCAATCTGAAATAATTGATTTGTGATACTAAACCATGAACTCTTAAGCCATTTTTATTTACTGACAGTACTGCTGTCGTGTCATACCATGCTCACATGGATATTGAGCAGTATTGCATATACTGTAGGTTTTCTGTAGTGTGAGACAAGCAGAGTTTTAACATAATCTAAGATAAATGATTGTTAAAATATTAGTAACAAAACACACACATGCACACACATGTCGTAAACGGTTGGCTGATTTTGGTAACACTGAAAGCATGCTTCATTTGTTCTTATACTGTATTCAAAGTGATGCTAAGTAGCAATCAGAAATAATTAAAACCATACAAAACAAAATGAAAAACAATTGTCTATGAACGTGAAAATGCCAAATTCTTTCAAATATGGAAGTGCAAGCAGTCATGTTCTCCACCCTTGAAATGATGTTATTAAATATGGTTGTATATATGTATAAGAATTAGCAATATAAAAAACACAGCACCTTTTTGCCTTACCTGGTGGCTTCCCTAACAACTGAAACTTAATGAACAATACAAGCAATATGTATTAAGAGCCAATCTATTTTCTTCTCCACAGTGATGGAGGAGACCTGCTGCTTCCATGCTGACACAGCACCTTACTTTGACAAAGGTTTAATACATAAAAAATAAGAAAACAAAAACAAAAAAGAGAACCCAGTGCAGCCCAACAGGCTGAAGATTAAAATAGCTGTCATGCCAAGTCACTCAATAATAATTACAAGCAACAGGCTGTGCATCACATGCAGTGTTACCACCAGGCCATCAACAGGGAAACACTTGCCTTCCTGTGTCATCATTGGTGTTCCTTGTTTTAACATCATTCCTTAATCAACATTTGAAGATACCTGCAGCTGGCCTCAAAGTTGTGCGTAACTATTCTTAGCATTAGCTGTCAAGCACCAGAGCCTGTCATTTAAAAATAATTACCGTACCATCTGCAGTCTGATTAAGTGCTTTTTATTTTAAGAAACAACAATGCTTTTTGCATTTATATTTGATATCAAAAACGTTTATTGGAAAATGTCTTCGTTTGAAGCCAGTCAGCTCATAAACATATTAATATTCCCCCTTCTGTGAACGTAATAATACAGAAACATAACTTGAATACATATTAAATAAAGGAAGCAGATAAATACATTAAATTTGTTTTAACAGGAAAAAAACAGTCAGTAGAGAGTTGTACACAAATGTATGCAATATCTTTAAGATAAATTACAATGCAATTTTCTTTTACATTATGAATGAAATACAGTACTCATACATGTATTACACTAAAATAGTAGGCCATATCTCTGGAGCAGTGTTGCAGTAATGAGTCCCCTTTGATACAGCGTCTTCATTGTCTTTTTATTCCTTTTTTAAAATTTAGTTCTCATCTGGTCGTGTTTTGAGACATTTATTGTCTTTGTGCAGTGTAATTATAAAAAAACAAGTCCTGTAACTGTTTTTTTTAGTTTTACTTTGTAGTGGCCACTATTGTAAATGATTTAGTGTAGAAAAAGTAGGGTGAGAGAAAAGGTCACTAGGTTTATGTCAGCATTGGTTATATTACTGTGGCTAAAGTCAGCAGCGGTACCCTCTCAAACATTAAGAATTTATACTATAGAACTGGACTGTGGTGTGAAAGGATCGACAAAAGTAAAAATCTCTGACCACTTTGTAGATGGTTTTTGGGTTATTATTAATATTTACATATTAAAATGCTACATTATTACAAAAGTTTAATGTCTTACTAATTTCTATATTCAATATATGAATATATTTAATTGAGAAGCTATTTTTTTGGCTTTTGCAACACTGGAAATACAGCAATACATTATGTGACATTAGTAATCAGAATTAGATTGCATGAATTCTGATTGGAAAGACAAAAATGTCTCAGTGGGTAAGCAATCATGTAAAAAAAAAAACATTTAAAACAAATTGCAAAATGTGAGTTGACCATTTACTTTACATCATCATCCATTCAGCAATAGTAAGGCTTCAGCCTTGAGGTACAACATGCACTTGACACAGGTTAAATTAACTGCTAATTTGGAAGCCAAATACAAAATGTACAGATAGTAATTAATAAATTACTCTTGGCATGAAAGACGATAATGTATAACGCTTACATGCTTTCCTTTCTTAAAAAAATAAAAATTAAGTTATGTATTAAGTAAATGTCTTGACAATTGTGGAATTTAATTTTATTCTTTGATACATATTTTGTAGTTAGGGAATTCTTCACTTACTGTATGAAACTGACTTAATCACTTTCACACTGTTTATTGCTAAAATGCAATAGCTCAGGTACATGGGTTAACTTTGTGCTTTTAACTATTCAATTTTAATAGAAGTTACATATACTCCTCTAGGTTTTGTTTGATGGTAAATCCCTACATTTTTTCTGCTTCCACTCCTGAGCATAACATTTGCTACAGTGTGCTTTACGGGTAATTGGTCAAGGCATATCTTAACCCCCAAGAATATGGGTCATTTCTTTTTTCTTCTAGCAGTAGTTCACCATCTAAAACCAAAAATAAAAGTTATACTCATAAAGCATAAGCTTTCCTGTTTTTCAAGAAATTTCAGGTGTATAAACAGTTACAGTAGTTGAGAAGAAACCATACAGTATGTACAGTATAAAATATGTTGATATTATTAAAAATATCATAAAGTTTTGCATACAAAATAATCATGTATCATATCTATGCATTTATATACGTAAACATTTCATAAAATTGTTCTTTTGCTAAATGTCTTCATCACAGCAACATTCTTGACTGGGTGCATTTGCTCTGTTTGTGAAACATTTTCCTATTTACACTTGTTTAATATGAACTTTATCAACTTAGCACTTAGTAGAACATCTGAAATATGGGCCAAGACTATTCTAAGAAGAGTTCTGCTTTTAAACCCAATTCTACAGTATATTCTGAGCCAGTGCAATCAGTGAAGAAAGGCTGAGTACATAAGCTACAGTATGTTGTAGTAACCCAAAAATAATCTTAGGATCTAAGCAGGTGAACTACAGAAGGGTATTTTAAGTTTTCACCAGGTGCACCACTGCTTTCACTAGCAGCCAAAAGCTAATGAAGGGGCATGGTTCACAGTGCCAGTTGAAATTCCCATGTCAACGGGTTTGGAACAGCAAACTCTTAGTAGAAACAGCATAGCTAATGTACCTCATCATTAGAGGAAGAACATATTTTTACAATGTACAGTACATTCTGGGCCATTTACAGAGTGTCATCAGAAGGTACTTTCAAGCTGATTTATAAATCAAGGTATGTGAACTCAAATGTCAAAGCATAATTACAGTACTTTACTGTATGTTGGACATATGCCTATTATACATTGGATATCAGGGCAATTAATGTGTACATAGAACTATAGGGGTGTCAGATACTTTGTAAAATGTCTTTATAACAAGGATTCTTTAACAGCAATGTTTTGCAGAAACAAAAGTACACCATAATAGCTTAAATGTTTAATAAAGTAAAATTTGAAAAGTAACAAGTAAAATGTGTTAAGAAACATCATGATTTTGAGATCATTAAGATTCTTTACTTTTAAAGTACAGTAAAATAGTTAAGATAGGACTCTGTTTCAGATGCAACATATACAGTACAATACTTTCCGTTTCTGTCTTTACAGTTCAAAGCTTGTAGTTAATATCTTAGTCCTGTGGGATGCATTTGTTGTTATTTTTTTTCCTCTCTTTTATCTTCAGGCACTTCGGTCACTAAAGTAACAGCCACAGATGCAGATGACCCAGTCTATGGAAACAGTGCCAGGCTAGTTTACAGTATTGTGGAAGGACAGCCGTACTTCTCCATTGATGCAAACACTGGTGAGTCAGTGTACCTGGTTATAAATCCAATGCATTTTATGGAATGCAATTTTGAAGTACTCACAAGGGACTCTAGGAATTCAGATTCTATGTTAAATGTCATTTTTCATTAAGAATGTAATTTATTATATGCCTTTTATTAGTATTTTAACCTCTTCATTTCAAGGTTGGCTTACACATTTGTAACTGACAATCAAAATACAAATAAAATGTGTGTACACCAACAAATTCCAAACATTCCTCATTTTACTTGTTTACCGTACGTAGGCATGCCTACAGTATTTAACTGGTTATTCATTTCCTCATTCATTCATATAGTAGCTTCTCAAAAGTATTCTTAAGTTCATAAGTAAGGTATTTTAATTAACTGAATTTAAGTTAAGGGTTCCAGTAAGGCCAAAGTTTATAAACATAAGGAAGTACACTAATGACGTGGAGAAGCCATTATTTAAACAGATATTATTTTAAAATAATACTGTATGTATTATATAATTGGAGTCTAAAAAAACAGGTTTGGAGTATTTGGCTTTTATATCAGGATCTGGAATAGACCCACTATCACAGCAGTTTTAAATTTCTACAATAGTGTACAGTGTATATGAATGCATCATTTAAGGTTCTGTAAATCTGTAAATTATATTGTTTAAACAGGATATTCTCATGCATCAGGTGTAAATGAATCCAAACTTAACCCAATCTTATTTTTTTTTTAATTCTAGATTGATGATTGCTATTTTTGTATAAGTAAAATTCTATTTATGAGAAACTAAATATTAGCATTCTATTAGAAGTTCCATTTCTAAAAAAAGAGATTGAACATTGCGTACATTTTTTATGTGTAACATGATTACATACCGTATACCAGACACTTTACTGTTTGTTTTATTTTTGACCCCTTCTTTTTAATTAAGCAGTGCCAACTTTTGAAAAACAAGCAATCATTTGCAAAATCGTGTGCACACATCTGAGCATAATTATTGAATTTATGCAGATGGATCAGTCAAGTGAGCCAGATGTTTTAATGAGTGTTAATGAAAAAATAAAGGTGGGGGAAACAGCCGTTAGATGCAGAATGACATCTACAATGCAATGCAGCAAATTAATCGTATTTGATAATAAACATCATGCTCTAATTCATCAGTTGATGGATAGAGGAATTCTTCCACACGTTTATGAACATTTTTATTATTATTTTAATTCAGTGCCAATACATAGCTATCCTTTAGGATAAGACCATGCTAATGGAAATCTCCTGCAAAGGGGAAGACACCTCTGTGCATATTAAAAAGCCTTGAAGCCTCTTGGTCTTCAATCTGGTGGATTAGATTTCCCTTGGCATTGTAACGCACGACTTACTACTTCAATAATTTGGTCCAAATCCTCATTTTGCTTTCATAGCAATGAAACTGAATTTGCAAAGAAGTGCTATGGATGGTTCATAGTAGTAATGTTTTTTACTCTGTAGGTAGGACAAGAATATATCTCTTATATATCTTATCTCTTGCATTGCTATTTCTTTAGCTGCTCCCAGCACCATTTACTTCACCAATGTGTTAGCACATACAGTAGAGAAGATATCCTAAGAGTTCCATGAGAAGAACACATATATAGTCATGTACTGTAGATGCTTTGTGTGCATTAAGTTGTCTCATTTAGATTCTGGTGAAGACAATATGAGTTTTATCATAATGACCTTTCAAATTAAGCAAAAAAAGGGGAATGATATGAAACCGATGAGAGCAAAAGCACGTTTTCAATACAGGTAAGACCTGTAAAAAGTGCATTTTAAAGCAGAAGCAATATGAATAAAATTAAAGATCTTTTTATTTCATCTACTCTACTTTGCTCACCTGCTTTCTTCTGTCTTTAGTTCACCCTTATACTGTATGTGGCTTCATTTTACATAAATAATGTATCCAAGTGTAAAGAAAGTGAAATATGCATTACATGTAATCTACTCCATACCAAATGTGCCTTGATATAGCAGTTTTTATATTTATTCAATGAATCTGCAAGGTTCTTTATTCACAGAGGATTATCCACATCTGGTAGTGTGCTTTATGTTCTTTTCTGTGGTACTGTAGTCAATAAGCTCCAGTGTGCATACAATACATAAGATTATGCCTAACAAAATCATTCTCATCCAATGAGAATCTAAATGCAAATTACTTTATTCACTGATAACAACAATCCAGGAAACAAACAGGCTGATGTTGTCTCAGCAAAGGGCTACATAGGATACAAACTCACAGCACATAAGTGCTCTAAATTCAGCATTTGACAAAGGTGATCATTTTTGAATACTTAATTTGAAATGACTAGTCTGTTTTAAAGCTGTCATTTGCCAGGATTTGAAAAGTTAGTCTAATCTACCCAATTATCTAAATTGAGTCTCATACAAAACCGATTGCAACAGGACCTACAGATTTCACATTTGACTTGAGAGGAAGTGTGGCAAAAATTATTAGTTTTTTTTTTGTATTTGACCCTTTTATTATGATTTAGCTTAAAAGCAGTACTCAATTTTACAGTCATTATTTATCATTATGTACTGTTTTCATTGGTATTTCACACATCATAGACAACCATTTGAAATGATGTCATGTTTTTTTGGTGAGCAATACATAATATTATCGGTACTTAGAATTGAAGATCAATTATATTTATTTTTTATATATTTTTGAAGCTGCATGTTTAATTTTTTTTTAAGTCACTTCAAACGTTTAAGAGTTTTCTTCTTTTGTCTATTTTTTCCATCATAGGTGTTATCAGAACTGCCCTGTCTGATATGGATCGTGAAGCCAGGGAGCAGTACCATGTTGTCATTCAGGCAAAAGACATGGGTGGTCACATGGGAGGGCTGTCAGGAACTACGACAGTCACGATTACTCTATCAGATGTCAATGACAACCCACCTAAATTTTCACAAAGTATGTGCGATTTGTCCGATTCCTTACTCACAGTAATACATGTCAATCATTGTACAGAGCTGCACAGTTTTATGTTTGGTTCATGGCTTTGCTTGAATTAAATTTTGTAACTTTCTAGGATATATTTGGACACATTTAAACGGTTTGGTTTTCCCGGTATTACTTTAGTCAACTAGTTATGCTACTCTAGATTTCTCTTGTATCTGTCATAAAAATTATTCAAAACACAAGAACATTGCAGGATGTTTAGTGTCTGTACAAAAATAGTGTTTAGTTCTATCTACTCTGTACTGTATACCAAATGATGTAGAGCCAAAAGGAATGAAAATGGGATTGTAATACTTTTTTGTTGAATAGTGCTGTTTGACCGATTTATTCTTTTTTTCTTTAAGGTTTGTATCACTTCTCAATACCAGAGAACCTTGCTGTTGGTAATGCTGGGGGGCGAGTGAAGGCAAATGACCGAGATATAGGAGAAAATGCTAAGTCTTCATACAGTATTATTGAAGGAGATGGAATAGATGTTTTTGAGATAACCGCAGATCCTCAAACACAGGACGGAATTCTTCGTTTGAAAAAGGTTTGTCATGTTCAAGAACTTTTGTTTGGGGATTTTGTTTGTGGTTCTTTATGTAGAACAATGTGGTGGGCATTATCAAACTTACAAGTAATAGGTTTATTCCATGCTGAAAGGAGAAGAAAGAAAACAAAACATTTTCGGCTGTGGAGCCTTTTTCAGGTGTGAGAAAGACAGGGCAGTAAGAAAAGGTAATGTAGCAGGAGAACAAAAGCTGGGAGAGAGGAGGGGCAGGAGGTGGGACCAAGGGACAGACAGAGTGGTTAATCAGGTAGTGTGAAGTCAGGATAGGTGAAGAGAGGTGTGAAATGAAACCTACAATGGATAGAGAGAATTTAAAAGAAAATTATCAAACATATTTTAATTTTCTGTTACAGAAAAATGTTGAGCTTAAGTTTAAGCTTTCATTTCCTTCTGTACCAGTCTATTTGAGAGTTTAGTGGCTTGGTATAGAAGAATTCACAGTGAGAATTTACAATACTTTAAAACAAAGGGCTACACAGGATACATAGGATTGTGTTGTAAAGATGCTATCTTTTAATGAAGGCGTCACAAGCTACATTCAAGTAAGCTTGTTATTATAGTGCTGAAGAGGGTTTATGTGGACACATCCTCTTCTACACATACTATTTCAGTTACTTCATGAAAAAGGGCTGCAGAAACCAAATAACCAGTTTAAACTGAAAAAAAAAATCTTTATGCAAATTTTCAGCCCTTACTTATAGTCTGTAAATCTGACAAAACAAAGTAAACCTTTGCCTACCTCAAGGACATCCTTTGGTAAGGGGATTGAGGGCTTTAGCTCAGAATCTTACAGCTTTATCCCAATTCTTTGTCATCCAGCATCTCATCTGTTTAGTCAGCTGCCTGTTCCAGCTGTATAGTTGGAAGGAATTCTACTTGGAAATGAAACTCCTGGCTTGACAACTCTTTTTAGAATGGCTCTCTGACTGGCATTAATTTCAGTGAATACAATCTTATTTTCATGGATAACAAGCATTGCAGATGACTGTAAATGTCAAGATATTTTGTAGAAATGTTGTACTATGGATTGACAGTTCCACATTTTCCTTAATATTGTAATCACAATTATAAGTTCATCATCAAACAATCAATATTAAATAAATATGTAATTAGAAAATTTAGAAAAAAACAACTCCTGAAAATCACTAGATTGTGCTGAAGCAAAGATGCAAAGAAAACTGTATCTTTACACTGAATTATGACTTGCTAATCATTCCATCTTCACCTGGTTTTGAATCAGTTACTGCAAGGGTATTGTAAAGAGAGTTTGCAAGGCATTCTTTAATACATGTCTTAAATATAGATATTATGAGGATTATGAGGATGTGAAAAAGTTTAAAAACGATGAAATTAGAATTTTAAATGATTTTTTGTAAAGGTTTTGAAGTGTATCTGTGACCCTGGAGTTCTTTAAAAGCCTATTGATGTTTCTTGTGTAATGTGTAACATAGACTAAGTGGAACAATTTGAAAAGAGCCCTACCAAACACAGCTTCATACACTGCTCTCTAATATACAGAGCAAATTATTAGAAGTCCTTAGAAACAAGGTCAAAAATATCGATTTAAATGGGACTGCAGAGGCATGGAGAGACATGGAGTCGGAAGAGCCTTTGTTGTTGCAGGGTGTAAGCTTTTTATCTTCAGACCCTCGGGCTGATCTCTCGCTGGTGAGTGGGATGTGCAGCTTCCTGTACTAGCCAACTCCAATCTTTGATGTTCCTAAATATGCTTTATGTTTACATACACTTACTATGTTGCTTCTCCCAAGGAAATATGGCATGTATAATAGAGCTTCTGGCTGCAAGTGGCTGCAGCGTCAAGGGAATTACATGGAAGGAAATGCATCGTTTTGCACATGGTACACGAGAACCAGCACTTCATTTACCACATACAGCCCAGTTCACAATAGATATAAAATTAAACTGCTGCACTTTCAATGCTAGCAGGTGAAGTAGCATTCATTTTCAAGTTTTCAAACAATCTGTGATGGGATAGTACACAGATTTGAAGTCTATATCTAATGAGGCTAAGAAAAATTAGAAATGTCTTACATACTGTATGAAGATTGGCAACATGATCATTTATTTCCCAAATTGTATTTAAAAAGGACAATTTACAAAGGATGGATAAAATGACAATTAAATCTGGTATACAACATTAATGTCATACTGACATTAGAGAGAAAGCAACTTGAACTATGTACTGTATACAGTAGGTACCAAAGTTGAAAAAATACTGCAAATTCTTCATTCATATGGATGCATTATTTTTTATAGTGCATTGCTTATTAAGCTATAATGTTTTTAATTATTTTAAATGACATTCTCCAGCAGTTATAAGTGAGTAATCTTACAGTTAGTAGATATTGTAATAGCAAGGGCTATTATTTCATTTTATTAAATACTGGAAGGCTTTTCAATGGGTATTGCACACCCACTTGCTAAGGTCCATTAAAGTCTATTTTATTACTGATTATTACTGATGCGTTTTGTCAATTTTAAAACTTCAAGTGCTCTTTTGCCACTGTTCAGCTGTTAGTCCACTTGCTGTTGTGAGTAGGTTTATAAAGCAATGTGAATGCTGGACTGCTTCCTGGGCTAATACAGACACTATTGCAGGTTTTTTCTTCCTTTGGCCCCAATGCCAGACATGTAGACTTCAAAGCTCCCTGTTGGTACTGATTCCCAGCTGTGTGCTGTTCACAGCTGTGCCTGCTCTTGGCAGGTTTCCAAGATGGGCTCTGACCATGGTTTGGAACTGTTACTTTTTAAAAAAAGTCTGATGCATTTCTAATTCCCAAAGGAGCTCCCACCATCCAACCCAGTTTTTATTCCCTTTATTATTCAGTTTTATATAGTGTAAAGTGACTTTATCCCATTATGACAGCATTATGAGAGATCCCAGGGGTGATTGAAAATACAGGGCCATATCAAATAAATGTGTGGGACATAATATACTACTGTATATGATAACACTAATGTTGAAGTAAAATATTGGATGGAAGAATATGTCAATGAAATGGAACAAAAGATCACAAGCAGTGCTATTCTAAACCATCAAAATACTACTAATTTTGCATGCAGGATATACATTTTTTCCAAATATAATATTTGCTTCTCTAAAGCATACTGTTTACAAGAACTGTATCTATGGATTTTATATCTTGTGAAATATTTCTGTTTCCAGTACCAGTGTATACAATATGTATGTAATTGACATTGTATGCAATTACTTTCAAGCTCACAACAAATTTCCTATAGTGGTATTAGATTAACCTTAATTACAGTCTTGATCCATTAAAGGTATTCTGTGTGCTCTCACATTTATAACACATTGATTGCTTAATGTGGAATTTGACATTTTGCCGATAGATGATTGTTTCGTGTTATTTTGCTCTTGAAAATTATTTTTTTTATTTGAGTTTTAAGTGTAGGAAAACAGAGATGGCATTCTTGGAATGAAACATTGCAAATACAGAGAAATCCTCCAAAGTTTCATCCATCAGCATTAGATTCATTTGTTCTTGCTGCTGTGGTCATTAGTGAAAGGCATTCATCTCTGTCATCTCTAACAGCCTCTGGACTTTGAGGACAAAAAATCCTATACGCTGAAGGTGGAGGCAGCCAACATTCGTATTGATCCTCAGTTCAGCAATGGTGTTCCCTTCAAGGATACGGCAACAGTGAAGATTGCGGTTGAAGATTCGGATGAACCCCCAGTCTTTTCAAAACCTACTTACTTTCTGAGCATACATGAAAATGCAACCATTAACTCTGTTATTGGCAATGTGTCTGCTACTGACCCAGATGCTACTAAAAGCCACGTAAGGTAAGATGAGACGAGTGTTATTCAGATCTGCATTCTGTTTGGCACAAATACAAAAGGTGCATATTGATTTTTCTTTTCTCACTTTTGTGAGACACAGACATGGTAGAGTTCTGCATTTGAAAGATTTAACTTCTGAACCACTGGTATCTATCTTATAAGACATGACACATGGGTTTAGTGAAACCACGGTTGTGTTCAAAGCACAACATGTCAAGCTTAAGACCTCTGGTCAATGAAGAGTCAGAAACCTTAGCTTTTATATTTATTTTTTGGTCTTGAAATTCAAGATTTGGATGCTATTTTGTTTGTCTTTTTTAAAATAAAAACATAACTCTATTGTTTAGGGTTGAAAAAAACTAGATTTAAATAATATTAGTAACAACTGATATGACCTGCAGATATGGAATAACATACTTCTTCTGACCTGTTCTGAGAATCATCACTCAAAGCCTCCTTGAGTATGAGTTAGAAATGCAATTTTCACCTCTGCATTTCATTAACTCTCTAGTGACTCAAAATGTTTCAAGAGACAACATTCAACAGGTACTGCAATTATATATTGAATGAAAATGGAAATGGTGTTCCAACTGGGCATGTAGACTGATTATTTTTTCTTGAATGTTGTGTAAGTTAAATAAAAGGTGAGAAAATGATTTTGAATGAGTTATGATTTATTTATACAGGTCCTTCTAATTTAAATTTTGAATTGCAAAATTAGTACTTCTTTTTAATGACTATAGCTGAAATCAAATCAAATGGAACATTCTAAGAATGTACTGTCTAGTCAGGTACAGAAATATCAAATTTTGCAATGGTGCTAAAAGTGACAGGTTAGAAACCTTGTATAACAATTCTGTTCCCAGATTTCTTAAGTAAACAAGCTGTATCCTAAAATAAATATTTTCCAAATATATATATTTGCAACAATTGTAATTTTTCCCATTCTAATGCAGCAAAGTTTTCTTTGTAAACCTTTTAGCCCTCTTTTTAAAAGTAATTGAATTACAAGAAACAAAGAGACATCAAATATTTGTGTTGAAAAGTACAGGCTAATTTAAAAAAGACAAAAATCTGCGCAGAGAAGCTCTTGCAGATAAAGGAGGTTATCCTACTTGTGATTTAATACCATCTCTGCTTAAAAATTACATATCTACAATTGCATATTACATTCTTTTCATTAGTGATACTTGCAGTTGTTTTCCACTTCCTTTTCACAATAGTTTAATTAAGACAGTTAAGACAGGTATTATTCAATGCATTGATACACTGAAGATAGACATACCGTAGTGTGAACTTGACAAAAAGTTATATTGAATGTTCTATTCAAGAGGTTTTTTTTTTTTTCGGAAACATTGTTTGAAGCCATTATTGGGTTACCACACGGTGGTTATTTTATTTATTTTAAATTGTGCTTTTCACCTGAGATTTTAGAGGGGGTGGTCCTGAATTCTAATTCAGACACAGACCGCAGCCATGATGTATAAAAACAGTAAAATAAAGGCTAAAGTACAAAGGATTTTTTATTATATAACACACATAAAAGCATCTAATTAAACCTGACTTCTGTGGAAAAAAGTGTTATTCTCTAAGGAAAAAAATATAGAATTTAGAAATATTCCAAGAAAGGGATATAAGAAGAAAACAGAAAACAATTGTTTGGGCTATCAATAATACTGACTTTACTGTACTGAACATATTCTTTGTAGTCTCAACATGCTTTCCATAATAAACATTATTTTATTTTGTATGTAGACAATATTCCTTCATATGAATTTGTTTTCTTAGTAATTTTGTAATTAAATCATTTTAGTTTTTTTTTCAAGCATGATTAATTTCTTTTTCATTTTCAATTGCTGAAGCTTGAAGTAACTCTGTCAGTGTCAGTAGTCCAAGCCCAAACTTACAGCCAAGCCACATTAGGTAAAGCTTTAGAGAATTTAGTTAAAGGCTGCTGTAAGATTTATTTTTCTGTCGGAATGACATTTTAAACAAGAAAAAGTGTACTCAGAACAGATTCTCTGAAGCAAAGTGGTTAATGTCACATTACTTCCCATATCTGCCAAATGAAATGATAGCATCCAACAAAATAGCTGAATAGGTTACGGAACACCATGTCTTTGAAGCTAATGGCTCTGATGTGACTTGACATTTTCTTGCTATTTTGTGTGGTTTGCCAATACAGATAAATTGTCCAAGTATGCTTAGAAGATTCTGTTCCATTTAGTTAGTAGAAGTTTATTAGAGTCCCCCTAGGGCGATTACCATATGCACTATTAACAAATACAGTACAAAACACTTTTTATTCATCCATATTAAATATGGTATTATACACATTAAAACATTTGGAAAACAGCTATAATTAAAAACTGTAGCATTCAAAGCTTCTATTAAAGTTTTCTCTTTTAGGAAATGTAATTAGTCCAATTTGTAATTAGGTTTAACTATTTGCTTTTTTTATTAGCTTTTGAAAAAAACTTTACTTATACAGTATTTGTAAATAGTATAGTAAATACTTAAATAGTAATTATTCCATGATTAATTTTAGCCACTATTTGTTCATTTGTAGGTACCCTTTCAAACATTAGAAAGTACATCTGCCGTCTCATCTATTCATAAATTGTTTGCTTATTATTAACATTATTAGTAGCAATAAAAGATAATAAAATGTTCTTAATTATTTTACATGCATATTTTCATTTCTAGATACAACTCTTGCCTTCTTTAAAGTCACCACGTAACCAGTCTGAGTCACTTGTTTTCTTTGTAACTTTTATTCTATCTACACTGCCAAAACAGTCCAGGATGAAATAGTATGTTGCACTGTGCCTGAAGGTGCTACTTTGTGTTTGCTGTGGTGGGATCTAAGGTATTACAACTAGAATTTTAAACTATACAGTAGGTTCAATTCTCAGTACAGCTACTGATTCACTGTGTGACCTTGAGAAATTCCCTTTAGCTTTTTTTCCCATCTCTAACTCTACTTTAGCAGCTAAAGGAATGTTCATGTTTTTTGTCAGGTTCATAAGTTGCAGCACAGTTCTTTCTTGGTGACATGAGCTTTAAACTTAAATAGGTGTTTCTTCTCCTTGAATGTATGTTAGGCAAAAACTATGTGATTATGGTGTTCCTTATTCACCATTGGAGTACCTTGTATAATCTGAGCATTTTTTGATAAAAGCAAAGACGTATGATTAGGCAGAATAGTCTTGAAATTTTCCTTGAGATTTGTATGATGGAAATTAAGCATAAATGTCATGATAGAAGAGCGTTTTTTATTGCAGACATTATTAATCCTATAGTAAACCTAAATTTATTCAATTCCACAAGCAGCTTTATATCCAGAAGAGATATAAGCTTTCGTATGGGTGACTGAATAAAAATCGTACTAAGGAGAGCTTACCTTGAAATTGCTGTTTCTCACAAATCCTAAATCTACTTCTGAAAGGAATTGAAAAATATAAAAGGATCTGAAATGTCGACTAAAAATTACATCAGTTATGAAACCTTTGATGTTAGGACACAAGTTTTACGTTCACAGGAATAAGCAGGTAAAGAATTATTGAACATCCCTGGGATACACATCAAAGGCAGGTACTGTGTTTTCAAAACAATACATCAAATTTTATTGTCCATATTTCCAAGGTAAAGGAAATTATACTCTCCAAAAACTTTGAACCTCATTAAACTTTCATCCACTCCATAAACAGATAATTCTATTTTTTTCAATAAAATGAAGAAATACAGACTTTGTCTAATTCCAGTTCCAACATCAGTGCTTGACCTTGTTCAGTTAGGCACACTCCACAGAAACTGTTCTCCTCTCTGATTCTCACTGATTCTTCTTGCTTAGCTCATTCTACTCCTGTCTCCTCCTGGATTCACTCAAAGTCTGCCTGCCTTTTCCTCTCTTCCTACTCTTCTGCCTTGATTAATTTTTCCATCTGTTTTCCTCTTGACTCCACCACACTACCTCCCCACTGTCCTCCACATTTGAACCCTGGGAGTCACTGTTAATTATTAGTTCATCAGGTAGTTCCATTGGACTTTTTTGAATTACTACTATGGATTGCTTAGGCAAATACTCCCTGAACATGGAATATGTGTAAGTGCATATTCTGCAAATAATGGCAAATGTAAACGGGGAAATCATATTTTGCTCTGTCAGTTAGTATGCAATGAAAACAATTGTATTATGAAAGCAAGAGTTGCACAGTATACCTCTCACAACAAATGCAATCATGCATGTGATCAGCTATTGGTTGTCATCAGCTATTGTGCTAAAACATTTACAGCCCCTTTCCTGTGCCAGGTATTTGACAAGAATAACATGAAAATTCTTTGATTTTATTAAGTTTGAAATGAGTGAAAGTTTGTGGCATTGTGACACGACAAAATCAGCAATTTAAAAATGAATGAATGTGCATCAGACATTTTACAGAGGTACTGTATCTTAAAAAACTTGCCCCATATCATGTCTTTTCTTCTCAGTTTGCTTCGACCAAATGCATTTGCTTGTAAGATTTTTCATTGATGCATGCGGTCACATGCAAGGAACAGATACAGTATTATTGAATTGATTAAAAGAAAACTGCAAATTTCTATAAGCACTTAATCCTGCAAGGGATTCTTCCATTCAGTGCACCAAGATCTAGAATTCCTGAATACAGATTAAAGCAACAAAAACATAATTAGTAAAACCAAAGGTTACTATACATTATATTTTATTACTGCTTTAATTGATGGAAGGCAAAGGAAATTGTTGGAAAATGTGGAATGTTTACAACCTGATCATGTTACAAGTTACTGATATACAGCAGCATGTTAATGAGTTAAAACCCGTCATAATTGTTATGAAAAACTCAATAATCAACATGAGGCACATGCCCTGTAACACTAGCTGCTACCAAAAAAGATCAAACTAAATTTAATTTGGGTGCATTAGACTAAAAGACTCTATGCACAAGTTTTGGTGGTGATAGTATTATCAGTTGGATTAGTTATTACTTCATTTCAGTAATGTGACAGGAATTTTGAGTAAATGAAAATATTTTCATTGAATCTAATTTCATCTCTACACAACACGTTTTAGCATATTGCAGCTAATCAATATATTTATAGATGTAATGTTTCTTATAAATATTTTTACTGTAATTCATATCCATTTTCTCAGGAAGTTATACTTGTAATTTAATATCAACATTTTAAGCTAACCCCACCTCCCAAAACCACCAATTCCTTGAATCTTTCTTCTATTTCTTCATTTTCATTACCACAAGAGAAAGAATGCCTTAAAAACAGTAAGTGACACGTGGCAGAATTTTTCAAAATGTTTTGCACATCTACAAAATGCACAACTGTTCTGTCAGCCTTGAATCTGCTCATTTTCTTAGACATTATTCTCAGGTTGTTTCCTGCTGTCTTATATTGTTGAATGTGGCTTCAAGTACATTAATAGAAACCTATGTGAAGAGGTTGTCCTTTAGTTTTTCCTTTATTTTCTGAAATGTGGGACAATACCCACTTAGTTGGGTAGATGTGCATCATTCTGAACTCACAGTATATGACTGTACTGTAATGGAAGAGCTTCTTATTGAACATGGCCTTGTTACACTACTTTACAGGTAACTTAACTTGCTAGTTACATGTGACATAAACTTATCACTTACAAGTACTTACGTACTTACAATGACATTTATTTTTTAGGTATTTGATTGATCGGCACACAGACCTGGAGAGACAATTTAATATTAATGTTGATGATGGGAAGATAACCCTAGCAAAGCCACTTGATAGAGAGACAGATACATGGCACAACATTACTGTGACAGCCACAGAAATCAGTAAGTATAACTTTTATTTAGGTTTATTGTCTATTTAAAAACTGTTATTATTATTATTATTATTATTATTAGTAGTAGTAGTAGTAGTAGTAGTAGTAGTAGTAGTAGTATCAGGTCTGATATTCCCATTATACTGAATATGTTTAGCAGGACATTCATACATGATGGAAGTAGACAGAATTAAAAAAAGAACTGCATACTGTACTTGGCACTGGTAAAGAATACTTAATGTACTTTAAGACAGGTAGCATAGTTAATTAATTTATCGACCTTAGGTGAATTAATGTATTTTCTAATTAACTGGCTTTTGCACATCTTTTGATATAAAACTAACATTTTCAAAAGATAAAGGTGTATCCATGCTATCAAAAGAAATGTACTGTACAAGGTTATTATAAAATTCAACAGAAAGGAAACATAAGTTATTAGATAAGATATTAGTCATACAGAGTAGAAAATCAATTAGTCATTCACATGGCTGCAAAGTACTGCCCTTAAAACATAAAATGTACTGCCCTTAAAAGGTTCATATGCATATATCAATATAATATCAATATATATTATATATTTATTATATTAAAATTATCTGTAATAATAATCATCATCGATTGTCTTTGTTTTTTCTCTGCATTAACATGACCTAATTCCTAGAAACACAAATTGTTAGAACAATTCCTGCACTATTTCTAATTGTAAGGATGGTCCTCAAAGACAGTCAAACCTCAACTTAACCTTGTGATCATTATTTCAGACAAGCGATCTAACAAGACAGTCATTTAGAAAAATGGGAAATAATTCAATAAGTACAACAAGTGGCAGCAACATGTTATCAAATTTGTAGCCTGTCTGTAAACTTAGCTAGATTATATTTTACAAGGAGTTTTTTTTCACCCTGTTTCACAGACTAACACGTGAAAGTTGCTTTCAATGGCACAGGTCAGATTTCGGAAAGAAAAAGAGTGTTTTTTTTATGTTGCCACGTACAGGTTTGCATTCACCAACTGTAAATCATTTTACCTTTACTTAAATCATTTAATATGACCTTCCACAATATTATTTTCTGAAAAATGATCAAATTATAGGCGACACAGTTCAGCATTGGTTCACTTTGCTGCCTCGCAGAGCTGGGGCCTTGGGTTCAATTCCTGGAGTTCTATCTGCATGGAGTTTGTAAGGTATATTCTCCCTGTGTTCATCTGGATTTCTTCCAGGTGGTCCAGTTTCTTTTTACAGTCCAAATACATACTAGTAGGTTAATTGGGCAAATTGGCCGTGGTGTGAGTGTCTATGGAATAGCGTCCCTTCTAGGGTGTATCCTACCTTGCACCCATTGCTTGCTGGGATAGGCTCCAGCTGCCCTATGACCTTGTATTGGCTAAAGAGGTTAGAAAAGGATGGATGGATGATTAAATCATGTTAAATCATTTGGGGTTCCTGACAGGCAAGTACAGATGTAAGCTATTATATTGATCAATGTATATGAATTATTTCACATTTTAATTTGCCTTACTTTGCTGATCTGTATGAGAAACGTATATCTTTTGTTCTATTTTTTATAAAATAATAATAATATTAATAATCTGCTGATAAATTCTATGGACTAATGATTTTCTAAAAGTTTTCTTCTTCTTGAATACAGTCATAGAAAGCTCATCAAAGTACTCCAGGTCATTAGATATTATATTTTCATGCAGTTTCATACAATTTTCTCCTATTTAAAAAATACATGTATTTAAGAAAAGCATTGTCATCCTTTTTAAATCATAGTTGTCACATCAAGACAGGTGCATATGCTTTTCTTTGTTTTGATGCCCTATGGCATGGTTTCTGCATGTAGCAATAGTAGTGTAAATGCAAAATACTAATAGAAATTTAGCAAACAAACACTGCAGCATTTGCTGCGATTCAGATCAGAATTTAACAAAAAAGTTGCTCTGCCGTGAACAGGAAGAATTGCATTTCCTGTCCCATTCTATCATGATTTACCACCCAGGCCGCTATGTGTTCTGCTGTTTGCACCAGATGACATCTAACTAATCAGATTGAATTCCCAGCTGCCGGGGGAGTGAAAGTCACTTTAACAGCCAGCCATTGAATGGGGGCAGAGCTACTACTTAAAATGCCTACTTAAAAAGAATTTTCAGACACACCATTGGCCTCTTGAGCACAAACTTCAAACTTTGCATTTTTTCATACTTTTAATTACTTAAGCTACTTTATGAGATATTGCAGTGATAAATAATTGCAGTTGTGACAATACTTTTTTTTATCTTATTTTTAATGTTATATTATTTCAGTCTCTGACGTATAATAGATTGTCCCTTTACATCCCAAATTATGTACTACTAATAAGGAGTACACTTACATTTTAAGTAAGACACAATTGTGTTGTAGAAGTAACTTCACTTGTAAATGTTCAAAAATACTAAATAACTGAATTTGTGATATCATGAATGGTATACTGTATGTTACATCCCAGGGACGATCCTTCTAGTTCTTTATGTGCTCTTACATTTTATATGTTGTGTTTTGGGGGGTGTATGTTTTTTTACTTGTATGAAACCTTTATTATATTATAATCTATATTATAAAAATGATAAGAAACTATATGAATTGTATTTTACTGTGCTGGGCATTTAATATACTGTGATGTAAAAAAGCTCACTCTATCACAACTTCATCCTAATTATTAGATAACAGCTTTAAACTTAATATTTGCTGCACTGATTCAAGGAAATCGTGTACTGGACTCTCATAAGGAACTATGAATTATTAGCAATGAATAATTCCAATAAACCAAATTCTAATTAAATTGCCCTTTATTGTCTTTTAAACTTCAACTGCCACTATTTCATTAATATGCATAAAAATGTTTCATGTATAAAACATGAATGTTGTGCAGGGAATTTTAGTACCCCTTTTCATGGATATTTTTTATTCTTCTTATCCATTATATGGTTATTCCATATAGTTATGATTATTAGTTATATATAGTTATTATTCCATATAGTTATATATTCTTGAGTCAGTCTGTCTTGACGACTATCTTTGTGTGATCCCAAACAATGTGGAATGGAATAACTGTGAATTTTACATCCAGATTTACAGATCTGGTGCAAAAAGTTTTTTGTTTTTGTTTTGTGTATCATTTGCTGCTTTCTTCTTCATTGTTAAGTTCAATTACTTTTACTTTCAGGAAATAACAGTCAAATATCCCAAGCTATTGTTGCGATTAAAGTTCTTGATGTTAATGACAATGCTCCTGAGTTTGCATCAGAATATGAAGCTTTCCTATGTGAGAATGGAAAACCAGGACAGGTGAGAGATGTATCTTCGCTAACAATGACTGTCTTGCATCTCTTCGGTAATAATGAACACTTTTCATTTTCTAGCCCATTTATTCCTGGGAGAAGTATTGAGGCAGTCCTTTTCTGATATACTCTTCTTAAAAAAGGAACAAAGTTTTTTTTTTCTGAAAGCACACCATCCTGATATATCAATGAAAGATGCTGTATTCACAGCAAAAAATAGACATAATAAACCCCAATTCTGATGTTATAAACTAGCTAGGTAGCTTTAAATGAATTTCGCTTAATTTACAAAACTGATATCAGAATTTACAATGACCAAAATAGCTTTTAATAAAACAGCAGCTCCAAATACATCTTTTAAACTATTAATTATTTCTCTTTTGCAGGTAATTCAGACAGTCAGTGCTATTGACAAGGATGATCCAAAAGATGGACATTTTTTCACATATAGCTTAGTTCCAGAAATGTCCAACAACCCTAATTTTACAATCAAGAACAATGAAGGTAAGAAAATCATTGAAAATAGTTGTTAACACGTAAATATATTTGTTTATTTTTTATGTTTAAATACTATTTGAACTGTGTATTTTCTTAGTTTAAATTTGAAGTTGTTGTCCAATTTATGGTTTACTTGTGTTAGAAATGTTTACAAAATAATATATTATATGAAGTTATATTGGACACTGTTCAATTAATGGACAATAAAAAGTTGATTAAATAAACTCTAATTGTTTTAAATTAAAAACACTTATAAAAGAGCAGGGATTCTTGCAACATGCTTATGAACATCCTTTCTTCTTTAATGCACAATGCATTTAGTAAGAAAACAAACAAAGAGGTTCCAAAATCCTGTCTTGAAAATATTCTTTTTGTAATTGGATTTAGTGATTTTTTTAATTGTTTCAGAGTAGCAGATGGCACTAAATTTGTTTGCTAAATACCATGATTGGTTTAGCCAGCTATTTTTTCTGCATTTCACTTGCTGAAGTGCCTTTGCTCAGCCTAATGTTTCATAATATTTTCAAAGAGCTGGGGGCAAAAATCTTCATCTGGTTTTCTCCTTCTGTTCTTGTATGAAGCCTAGAGGCTAGAAGATCTGCTTTGTTTAGTTGGAAATTGCTTTTCTTGCAAGAACTGTAAAATTAAATGCGTCACCTTCTTGTTTTATTTCAAAGACACACCATAAAGAAAACAGTCATATTTAAGAAGGATAGTTTTTATTCTCACTGACACACTATATAGAAACCAGCTTCTGGTTTTTGAAAAAAATTGCCAAGGTTACCTTAAACAAATGGTATCCCAAGTTTATCAGTGTTCTTGCAATTTAAAGATAAATTCCAAAATTATAATCATTGTTTGAACTCACAACAGTACTTTGTGAGATGGCTCTGCATTATTAAAAGTAAATGTCAACATAACCCACTAACCACTAGGTACCATTTTATTCTACACAGTACTGTGAAGCCTGGCTATTTCCTTTTGTTAACAAACTTTGCAGAAAAAATACAATTTATGTATGGGATCCATATTGTATTTTTTATGCCATAGTCAGCTTCATGAAATGTGCTGCTAAATATGCTTGTATACTGCCACCTTTAATGTACTTTTGTGTTTTAGTATTTTGAAAATCTCATATACCCGTACAACATGCTGCTATGTTTTTTTTTGTTGCATTTTTAATACTGTACTGCTCAGACTTTTCTGTACATAGTGGATCTCTGTGACAGCTATAATTCATCCTTCAGAAACAAAGTATTCAAGACAGAGGTTCAGTGATCTAACTTCTCTAAAAAGTACATTAGTATCCATTCTGTAGTACATTATTATAATTTGAATTTTAATATAATCCATGTGAATCTCACACTTTTGAACGATTAACACAGTTCTACGTATAAAGAATACAAGTTTTGGTAACAAAAATAGTCTTTCTTTGAATGTTAATTGCCAATGAGTTATGGAAATGAAGTGACAGAGAAGAATACCAAACCCATTGCAAAAATTAATGGCTAGGACTCCCATGATGACTCTGGCTGGAGCTGCTGTTCCTAATTTGCGACTACTACCATATTCTGGTGCTATTAGAATATCATTGTTTCTGAGTTTTACAACCTCCTCCAATTACCCATGAATATCAGCACGAGAAGCAGAAACCCTCAGATCTCAATTAACAGAGACACAGTTTTAAATACTCTTTGATCAGCAAGTTCAGCCCACAGAAGCTAAATCAAGCACTTTATTTTTGGTCAGGGATTTAGCCCATTTGCACAATAGAGGGTAGAAAATCCTAAATTTGCAAGATCCCATAATTCCTTTGATTTAGAAAAAAATGTCCTTAGAAGATTATTACCATACCAATAAATACATGTAGACGACTTTGCATATTTTCATTGTTCAATCATAGCTCTATTAACAAGTCTAAAAGCTCATCTTTGGCTCATGTTATGACTAATTTATTTCAATATGTTTTTAGCTGGTAGTGCATTAGGAAATGAATTAGTCTGTTATTGTCTTCTCTCCCAAATCCCCAATGTCTTACGCTCATTTGGTAGGTTAACCTCTGCAAAAAGTGAGAGCAATTATTGTGACAATTCTGCTTGCAATACATTAAGGTTTAACTGTTTACCTAGGGTATAGAGTTCTAAATTGCACCTGACCAGTTCATTATTAAAAATGAAAATATTTGCCCAGGCATATTTTCTCGTCCTTGCAAAATCCCCTTTACACCCACATTTTACATTTTACATATTGGCAGTATACTTTACCACCTACTAAAAGTATGTGATAACGAAAATGGGACTTTAATTGTTACTATAAATCTGTTCAGAGCATCTACAAATAATTACTTTGTGTTCCAGGAAGGAATAAAATAAAAAACTTCAACATTTTTCATTAGCCTCTTTATGAATAAACAAAAAAGCAATTGCATCATAGTTTGCTTGCTAAATAACTGCTTTATTAAGATACCTCATATAATGTAGTGAAACCTACTGTATAAGGTATATTAAATTTCCAAGTTTTACTTTGTTTATAAGTATGTTTGCATCTTTCTCTCTAGAGATGCAGGTCAATTTCATCAAATGTAATCAAATATAAAGGTTCTTGTGCTTTTTAATTAATATTTGAAGCAATAATACTGGGCTATTAAACCAGACCTACAGTAATATTGCTGAAGTTCAGACTTGAAGACGTTCTGTATATTTTGAAGGGATGTTGCCAGTATATACTGTAGCCACTTTTAATAGCCCTATAGTTTCTTTCACCTCTCTGTTTAAGATTATTTTAACTCTGTGTTCACTAAAACACTTAAAGAAAGTATGAAATTTTAAAACTTTAAAATGAAAATTGCAATTTTATAAATTCAACATTACATTTTTGTCAAGATGGAAAATGGTGTGTAATGCCTGCGTGCAGTAAACATGCTATACTGTATTTATCAGCAGTTCATTATTCCTGCCATCTATCAAACCATGCAAACAGATGAACTGCTTTGTTCAAAAGCATTATTTTGGGTTAGGTTTCACAGTGAACAGCTGATCAGTATTACCCATTTACTGCATATAAGAATGGAGTACCAATTTTCATCCCAGGAAAGGCAAAATGCCAAATTTACAAATTAATTACTTATTTTAAGGGCTGTTTTAAAATCCCATCCTATTTCAAAGTGCCTCAGTGAACATGGAGTCATATGGCCACCTTACCTCTGGTTATGCTAATTAAAATCACTTGACTGTCTTTTTAATACAGCTTTGAAATAACATATACATTTTAGATCCTTTTTTCTTTTCTTCAGCCAAGAAATACCAGATGATTCTTCTGCAGTGTTTAAGTTATATCAAAACTGTGAAAGATAATTGAGATGATCTGCTTGACTTAACTGTTATTTCATTACCCACTTTGTAAAGGATAAAAGACTATACAAAATAGATAATGAGATTAGAATGAATCAGGAAGGAGACAAAGCTCTCCCATTGTTGAAACAAAAGCAATGAAGTCAAAACTGCAGTAATATTCATATCTAATTTAAGGACCTCTAACATGCAATCACAAACTTTCATACCTGTCCTCCCCCAGTTTAATGTTCCTCTGGTGTACAGTATCTGTTCAGTATGTTTTTATGTATTACATACTGCGCTGTTTTGTTGGAAAAAATGAATTTGAGGAAAAGTTTTTTTTTTCTTTTTTAAGGCAGCTGAGGTCTTTATAATGGACTTTAAAAAAAATGTACAGATGAGCTCAACCAATACAAGGCATGCATTTGAAGTATAGGTTATGCTCCAAGCTCCATAGTCCAGAAATCACCAGTTCCAGTCTGATATATATCAATATATCAATGGCAGACTGTGACGGGTATTCCCCAAACACTAGTCAATGGTTGGCTCAGTGTTACTGGGGTCAGATGGTTTGAGTTGCCTAGGGTGTCTTTCATTTGCTGCTCAACAGCAATCCTTGTTACTTGCTAGATACCTATGAGCCTACTGTATTGTCAAAGAGCTGTGTCACTTTTTAAAATCAATGCCATCTGTCCTGTAGGCATGATGCATCTTGCAAAGTACATGTTTCAGAGAAAACCATGCATGGTCTCGACTCCAAATATTTTTGCCAAGTCTATTAAAAATTGGTGATTCTTTATATACAGTAGGTGGTGTAAAATTAAAATAGTTGGTGATCTCAAAATTAAAAATAATAAGAAAGCAGTATAGCCAGTAATATTTCGTTTTGACTGTGATTTAGTGTTTTGGCTGTTAAGTCGAAATGTGTTTTCCATGAATTATGGATCTATTTTCTACATGTGAATGTTTTGGACATACTGTACACTTAATGTTAATTATTAAAATAATAAATATAGTTATTGTGTTCCTTTAAACCTAAAGCAGGATTTTTAAACATTGTTAGGCACACTTTTTTTCCTCTCTTTTTGTGTCATGATTGTGAATTAAAGGGTTTTGAAGTTATGAGTTGCAAGGTGTGTTGGGCATTATACAATAAGAAAAACAAATGCATGTATACTATCTTATGGGTGTTGGATGTGCTCTTTTTCCTACCCTTGTTTCTTTTTTCACTCTGAGCAATCTTGTTTATCTTCTATCTTGGATGGAAATAAATAAAAATATGTGGATGTACCAACAGTGAAGTGTTAAAAACAAGTTATTTGGGGGAAAATATAAAATACTTCTGTAAAACAAACATGCTGAAAGCATATACTTTAGATGAAAAACTCAAATTACAAAACAGAAAGATTTCTAGGATGCTTACATATAAAGCTTACACTGACTTTTACAATGACCTAAGTGACTCACTATTTTACCAGTTTCTTTTTCCTCCACAGATAACTCTGTCAGTGTTCTTGCCAAGCATAATGCTTTCCGGCGACAGAAACAGGAGATGTATTTCTTGCCAATCATTGTATCTGATAATGGAAACCCCCCAATGAGCAGCACCAACACATTGACGATCAGAGTGTGTGGTTGCAGTAGTGATGGCATTGTCCAGTCTTGCAATGTGGAAGCCTATGTCCTGCCCATTGGACTTAGTATGGGAGCCTTAATAGCAATTCTTGCGTGTATAATCCTATTGTTAGGTATGTATCTAAAATCCTTGTGTTAGGTATGTATTCAGTGTCTGAACATGTGTGCACTCGTAGTCAGCTACAGTCATGGAATATCTAGAACAGTATTTGTAATAGTAGTTCTGGTGGCTAATATATAAAGTAATATAAGCAGTAATTACCAAATATCGAATAATCAGTAATAGTAGTACTAAAGGGAGAAAGGGAATGTAAGTGAAAAAATTAAGTAAACATACTTCAAGGAACTGTTAAAATACGCTGAAATCTTTCAGACTATTATTGTTTATGCTACTTTAATCTAAAAAATTAACTTCTCTTTTGCAACTTTATGTTCAGATATTAAAGATGAAAGCTAAATATTAAAGATATTAAAGATGAAAGCTGTTCAATAACACAAACTTCTTTTTGTACAAAGTGTAAAGTGCATCCTCCCAATGTTTGACAACAATCTAAATTTGTAAATGTTTTTTTTTTATTTCTGTTACCCAGTTATTGTAGTGCTGTTTGTGACTCTGCGAAGACACAAAAATGAGCCTCTTATCATCAAAGATGATGAGGATGTCAGAGAAAATATAATCCGCTACGATGATGAAGGAGGAGGCGAGGAGGACACTGAAGCCTTTGACATTGCCACTTTGCAGAATCCTGACGGGATTAACGGGTTTCTGCCTCGCAAAGATATCAAACCAGACCTCCAGTTTATGCCTAGACAAGGACAACACTCTGCCCCTAATGGTGTTGATGTTGATGAATTTATAAATGTACGACTTCATGAAGCTGATAATGATCCCACAGCACCTCCATATGACTCAATACAAATCTATGGATATGAAGGGAGGGGCTCAGTGGCTGGTTCACTAAGTTCACTGGAGACAGCTTCTTCAGACTCTGACCAGAACTTTGACTACCTCAGAGAATGGGGTCCACGTTTTAAAAGACTGGGGGAGCTTTACTCTGTGGGAGAGAGTGACAGAGAGACTTGACCATGGATTTACAAATATGATTCAGTTCTGTCCACATAATTGTGTATTATGCTAGGGTTGACAGATATTAGAAGCGGCTATAAAAAGGGCCACCTTCTTTTTTCTTAGAGGAAAGTATAGAGTTCATCATTTACCACATCAAAATGCATTGTAATGTTGAAACAATCTAAACGGCGTCTATATTAGGAGGTTTATGATTCTTGTGGAGTGTTACTTAGATTCCTGTCGAGTGTCTAGCAGTATTTGGGGTATTTGTTGTTCACTGTGACCACCAGAAACATCAAGATCTGGATTCTTGGTAGTCGCTTTAAGAACCAGGACAGAAGACACACGGCACTGTATCATTCACCGGAGCCATGGAGCTGTGTTGGGCTGTGGTGGACACACAAGGTTCTTGCCATTGTGAATGGTCCAGGTTTCAAATCACTAGCCATCATCCTGCCAAAATGAAACAAACAAACAAACAAACAAACAAACAAACAAACAGAAAACAAGAGAGCAATACGTGGTCTTCATTACAATGTTGAATGTAAGAATAACAAAAGAGCACCATATTGGCTTTCAGTAAGCATTGCTTGGGATAAAATTCTATACTTGGTGGCCACATTATATAAACTGGATAAGCCTATTGACTCGCTTTATACGGTTCAACTCTTTATATTCACATGTTGTGTGTCTGCACTAAAAGATAAATAGCCTAACCATTACATAGAAACTAAATAAGAAATTCCAGATATGAACGTGGCCTTCTTTTTAAAGAAGCAAACGACAGATACGAGGATCCTGAGACATTTTTGAAAAGGCACTTTCCATTCTTTCATCATAATAAAAAGACACTGTATCATTTTATATCATTACTGGCTGTTTTCTGTGCATCAAATATTAATCGGTGTCATTTTTTTTACATAATTTGTCACTAGACCAGCTGTTTTATTGAAGTGAAATTAGAAACTCTGATAATGCAGTTAATACAGAATTATGCCGAGAGTAAGAGCTATATTAAACTGTGAAGAAATCAGATGGTATTTTAATCATTTAGAAAAAGAAAAAAACAGTGTCTAAAAATGTCCTGTGTATATTTGGAGTTACCAGTCATAATTTAAGCACAATAGCTGGAAGGATCTGGTTAATTAAAAAATAAGCTTATAAAACTGGTAAAAATACCCATCTTAAAAAAAATTAAACACTTGTTTATTGTGCTACGCTGTATAATATTAGAAAAATACCTGTACATAGATTTACTGCTAATTTTCTTAGCTTTTCTTTTAAGGGATAGATTTGTTTATGCACGTTAGCTCTTGCACACAGGATTCTTAAACAGCACTAAAGCTGCGTGCATACTCAATTTGTAACAATATATGGCAGTTCTTGGTAGATTCTACAGTATATATTAAATAGTCTTACATGCAAATCATATTTTCTACTGTGCTTTAATGCTATAATCTTGTATGTTTAATTATCTACTCCATGTATTGTAATCAGAGATACCCCTGTATTGTTTCCTACTTTGTGAAATATATTTTTATAAATACTGCTTGGTGTGGTCTTATTTAGCACCAAAGGTTGCCAAGGAATATACTTACACTTGGATAAACAACATTATGGATTTTAGGAATTAGCTTCTGCTTTTGTATAATGAATTATTGTCACTTGAACTTTTTTGGTTTTGTAACAGTGGCCTTTATAGAAGACGTTGAATACGGGAGTGTGCGGAAGCTTCTGTGATGTGCACATCTGACTGTTGGTTGTTATTTCATTTGCTGTTATCCACTTTACCCAATGTTATATAAATACATTATCATATCAATAGATCTACAGATAATTAATTTGGTATTTTATTTGTTAAAGGGCATAATGAAAAGAAAAACTATTACTGAAGTCCAGTGATTTTTTTAAACTAAATAAATGGGATTTAGGTGCTCGAATTTCTCTGAAGAAATAAGCTGATGGTCTTACTGTACTGATATGATTTGTTTTAATAGTACAAATGCATTAAGACACTTCTTAGAGTCGTTAAGTACAATATCAAAACGTATCACAGTTTTGTCTTCATATTATTTATTTAGCCCAAATAAAGAATGTTTCCATATTCTAAAATGTGTAGAGAATATATTAAATCAAATAATATGTAATGAACATAAATTGCAATTGAAAGAAGTCCAGTTATTGCCTTCAGGCTTTGCTGGGTGCTAAAAACATTCTTGTTTTCTTTAACTTGATGACAACCAGTACTGTCAGCTAGTTCTACAAGCTGGATGTAAACAGTTTGACCCTAACATACTGTCATGATAAATGTAGCATCCAGTACATTAAAATATATAGAATAATTTCTATTTAAAAGGTCAAGAATTTATGTAATTTATGCATCAATAATTCCACAGTTTTGTAATATATAATTACCTTAAAAATGGGTCAACACTAAACCTTTTACCCCTTGTGCTTTGAATAATAGTATACAAAGGCACAGATTGGAACAGAAAGGACTTCAGGGTTCATTTCCATCTATTACAAATACATGCCAAAGAAGCAAAAACAAATACGCATTCAAGCAATGAGAACAATTTTCTCACTTGTACTGCATCTCATTTTTTCTGGATCACATGGACAGTATACAGTACATATAAATATTAGAAGGTTTACTTGTGATTCGCTTTTTATCAACATTACTGTCTAAACGGCTATCAAAAGTAATCCTAAGTATCAAACCTTTGTTACCTACAGTATGGCCTTTTATGGAACATTTTGATGGTTTTATATTAGACAATATATACTTTCCTGATTTGCACTTTTTTCTTTTTTTAATTTGTAATGAACTTTCACAGCCATTAGTTTGTAATAACCCATAATTATTCAGCCTCAGTTTGTCTTACATCTCACGTATCAGCCTGAGAGATATAGAGATAGCATACACACCTCTACTAAGGAACTTTTATCATGAATTTGCTTCACTTCACTCTGCAAATCTAGAATGAGCTAGAATTGCAGGTCTGATATAATCTGATAATCTTCCAACCAATCTCTGTCACCACTCCAGTATGTAGCTAGGATTAATAATAGTATCATTAATTCTAACATACAATGATAATAGTATGATGACATTTTCTAATTCTAATTTTCTAACTTAAGGGATTTTAGGGTTTTACAATAAGCAGTCTTTATTTCTTTTATATTACAAAAGTGTTTGCTTGGGTCTCTAATAAGTTCTACCTGTATTGTACAAATTTCATTTCTGAATTCATATTGACAATTTTGATCACAGAATCTTCAAGATCATTAAGGACACAAAACTGAGCATTTCAGTTTGATTTCCAACATAGCTATTTATTTTTCCCTGTAGTCCTGTATCTTATAAACTAAAGCTTTAAATCATATATAATTTGGGGTATTCAGAAGCATAACATTGCATCACACAGTTATTCATTTAAAACAATACAATTTTGTTTTTTTTAGTGAGAATTAAATTTGAACACATGCACTAATTGGGAAAAGGTCTTTACGGTTTCTCAAGAGCACTATAAGAAGCATATGGGAAAATATACAGTATATCTTATATACAGTAAGAGTTGCATTATGTTATCTAAAAAGTCAAATCCTTTGTATAATAAATGTATATCTGGATTTAATTATCTAGCTCACATCATACTTCTCAACACAATAAATGCTTACAGGCATTTCACTCCCCTCTTTTTGTGCACATCTTTCAAATGAGTGATTGTATCTCCTTGAGCCCATGCCTTTTTTGTGTTAATCCTGATGAAAGATTAGAATTTTTCTTCAATCTTATCTGATATTATAGCCTTTTCAGCAGCAGCAGCCCTTGATTTTGTCACTTACTGCATACTTTCAGGAGTGGATTCATCCATCTTAGATCTCCACAATTTCAAAGCATCATATATGAACTAAGGAGCATTAACAATGAATGAGTTTTCCAACCAATAGCATTTGTTGCATTTTTAATGCCTCTCTGTATATACAGTATGCACTGTATATTGTATCAAATATCTGGCCATCAGTTTGTTTTAGATACATGTATTGAATCTTCTTATTTATAACCTAAAATTCCTCTTTAAATCAATTTGTTCTTGAACCCAAAGGCTTTTTATTTAGGTTGATTTAACCAATATTATTAAAATATATTATCTGAAACTTCTACAAATGTACTGTAAATCAAATGTGTCTTATTTAATGTTTCTTTATTAGCCCTATACAATTTCTTGCATTAGGAATTTGTCTTTTTGCATACCCCAGCTTTTCTCCAAGGAGACACAGACACAAAGACAGGGAGAGACGCTTGGGGTCAGAGTGCAGGGTCTGCCATTGTATGGCGCCCCTGGAGCAGTTGGGGTTAAGGGCCTTGCTCAAGGGCCCAACAGAGTAGGATTCCTCTGCTGGCAGCAGGATTTGAACCAGCAACCTTCCAGTCACAGACACAGATCCTTAGCCACAGAGCCACTGCTCCGCCCATTTATAGGCAGGCACAGAATCTTAAATTGAAATATGATAATTTAGCCATTTAAAATGTTTTAAATTCATAAAACAAAATAGCAATATGAATGTCATATTGTATAAACACTAGCTTAAAACATTCACATAAAAGCCAGAAAAAACTAGTTCCTTAGAAATCTTTCTGAAACTTGAAATTAATAAATTAAATATTATTAGCTGAAGGGTTAAAACTGAACAAGTTTTAATTAGTTTTGAATACATATTGAAATTAATTAGCTCCTTGGCTTGTGAAGTGTGGTTTCATATCTGTTCTACAGTATATCTGTTATAAAATTACTTTCTTCCGAACTGTTGCTAAAAAGGCTTGTAGCTTGAAGTTGGTTATTCCCCTTTCCATTCTCATAAGAAATCTTTAGGTGAGGCACGAAAGAGAATCTGAAATAGTTATCTGTCAGCATGACTAGCTGTCATTCCTATTTATTTGCATTTGCTGCTGGCAGTGTCGCCCAACAAAAAGCCTTTATGCTGAGTGTCTGATCAACCAAAGTGTCCCAGAAAACTGTCTCACTGAACAATGAAATCCTCTCTTTATTCACTTAGGCTACTGCTTACTGTCAAGTCTTAAACATTTTGTAATTTGTCTATTTACAAAGACCTGTAGGTAAAGTAGCACCTATGATGCTGTATATAAATCAGCAAAAATCCTTTACCCTACAAAGCAGTTAAACAGTAAATCATGTCAGCTCTACTGTCTGTATTTATTATAGCCTGCCAATGTCTCAGAAAATATAGTGTTTGATTTAATTTACATTTATTGTCAACAGTATGTCAATACATCAGGATGAAGTTTAAAAAGTAAATTATAGTTACAGACTATAATCCTCACTTATGGCTTATTTCTATACTCCTACTTCTCTTTCTGTTTTTCATGCAGGTGGTGCTGAATATTACTTTTACAGATAGGGGAAAATCTCAACATATGGGTTAGAGGTAAACATCTAAATGATTACTACATTGGACATAAGTGTCTCCTAATAATTAGTGAAAATTAAAATCTTTTCCTTTTACAAATATTCAGAATATAGCCTGTATGACCTCAAAGGTCAACCACCTCATTAGCAGTCATACTTTACTTCTGTGCTATTTATCTGCAAGTCTGAAACAAGCTGTTAAACTGAACAGCAAATCAAATTATCCACCAGCTTTTGTCACCTAATAGAAATTCCCCTCAGGTGACAAGCTGATGCCAGTTTACAGCTGAAGCTCAAATGACTAAATGCATATTTTCTGCTCATTTACTTACCAAGAAAAAAAGCACAATTACTATCACATAAAATTGTGCTATCAATAAAACAGAAATGGAAGTCTCAAAATTTACACTTTTAACAACTAAGAAATCTCAATGTCAAAATTTGTGAATGTTGTTTGTTTCTTTTAATATGCTGTTTTGTGTTTTTTGTGTCTTTAGACATAATATTCTAAAGAAATATTGAGATATAAGATATAAGATATAAGATATAATGCTTCATTGTTTATTACGAGACAGTTTTTATTATTTTTACATGTTCAGGAACAGAACAATATGGTATAACACAACATTCAAGACAACAACATTCACCAGCGCAACTTGTAAACAGTTTGGACTCACTGTAAGTACTGTACCTTTCTCCAGTCTTCCAAACAAAGGCTCAACAAACAAGGATCCGACAGTTATGGTAAGAGCACTATGCAATAAGGATTTGACCATGTAAGTGGCAGCACACTATGTTTCCAATATCTGACTCTCCAGAGCTCTAGCATGCTCCTTGTTAATTATATTAAAACATAGTATTTAGAAGAACAGAATCCATAGAAGCTGGGGTCATACCGACCAACCAATTCAGTTTTTGCCACAAAGAAGGCCATGATCAGAGTTATAATTTAGGAATAGTCCTGGGGTATATCAGTAAATATACTTATTTAGAGCAGCAGACAGTAGTAACAGTTGACACATAATCAAGAAAATGTAAGTGAATAATCTGTTTCTCATAATTTTTATAAGCCAAATGCATATTGTACCTATAGGTGTTACCTGGGAATATCTTCATCTGTAACATTCAATTACCTATACCAAAGAGAAATAACAGCTAATGATTTGTATAAACACAAAAAAGCTAGTACTGACCAGGTCCTTTTATATTTCCCCAGATGTCCAGTGTGATTATGCATTGGAGATTTATACAACCTCACTTCCCAGGGAAAGCCATAAGCATGCATTACAAAACATTGATTTAAGTAAAAAAATTACAGGGCTTGTGTTTGGATTGCAGATTCTAAAAAAAAAGAATGACCATTCTCATTCAAAATATGTGTTTTTTATCATTGTGAATCCCTTTATAATTCCAAAATAAAGCAAATAAAAGAGTAATTGCTTGTAAGGAGTTTACTCTTCACAGTCAGCTGGAGAAATTTCAATGTTTGAAAAGAGCTTTTGGTTTGTTTCTCTCTAGCTAGCCTAATAGGCATTTTGTTGACAACTAGTTTAGTTTTGTATTACAACTCAAAGTGGAATTATATACAGTGGGAATAAACAGCAATGATTTACTGTAAGATTACTGATGTTATGAAACCAACCCAAAA